ATCTATTCATAAGGGGCTTTTGAACTGCTCTTAGTCTGACCCGTCACCCAGGACCTGTTTGCCTTGGGAGACCCTACCAGTGACATATAGCCCCCGACAACATCCCTAGGATCACTCGGGTACTCAAACCCCTCCACCACAATAACGTGGCGGTTCAAGGAGGGGAAAAGGCAGAGTTTCAACTGAAATAACTTAATTGATTAGACTGATAAACTCTGATGTGTCGGACTTGTGTAAATATGTTAAAATCTTAGTAAACAGTTCATTTATTGTTCAGGCTTTGGTTACATTACCGTCGTTGTCCGCCGAGGGCAGCAGACATCATGCGCCTTTTCATGAAACCACACCCACCCACTTACGTCATGACCAGCCGACTGCGCATGAACCGGCACAGTCTACGGTACCGCAGACTGGAGAAACAGTAATCGAAAGCCGTTGACTGGGACTGGCCGTTAGTTCGGTGGCTGTCCGCCTGTCAGGACACCGGGGTCGTAGCTGCTGTTTGAGACTGTCCAGAAGACAGGGGTGCAGAAGCGCTCTCATTCTGGAGGAGCCGGGTTAAGGTAGCGGAGCTTCTCATCGGAGAGTCGGTGTGTCCAGTAAAATGTTATAAGCGGAGCGGAGAGCACCGAGCTCCCCGCTGATTCACACCGATCGCCCGTTAAACCTCACCGAGTGTCCCCTCACGGAAACTGAGGTTAACCAGCAGCTACTGACCTGTCATTAACTGGCTCGCTGCTACCATTAGCAGCCAGGCTACATGCTAACAGGCTACCATCAAGAACCTGCTCAGCAGCGTCAGCCCACGGTCACACCGTGTCCCGTTACTGTTGTTATGGATCGGTTAACGGCCATCATGTTGTCGTCCTGGTAAACGGAACTACACCCTATAGTTAGCTGCTAGGCGCGGAGCTAACAGTTAGCTGTGGAACATCTGGCTGCAGCTAGCGCTCCCTCGTAGCGGCCGAGGATGGTCGCAGTGACGGCAGCTGCTCCGGAGGAACAGCCTGTGTCCGCTGGATGTTCTGAGGATCCCCGCTTCACCCGCACTGCTGGACCCGGACAGACCTTCACGGTGTTCATGTAAACAGGTGAACCGCTACGGTGCTCAGGCCCTGCACACCCCACAGCAGCAGCCATGCAGGCGGCCCAGCTGCAGTACGACTTCTTCAGCGAGGAAAACAGTCCGAAATGGAGAGGCCTGCTGGTGTCTTCACTGGAGAAGGTAAACACACGGTGACATTCACTGAGCTCGGGTGTGTCCCTGCAGGTTCGGTTCCCTCCAGGTGTGTCCCTGCAGGTTCGGTTCGGAACGACTGAAGGAAACGCAGACTCAGCTCAGGTGTTTCCCTCCATCTGATGTGGTCACGAATGTGTACAGGCTAATAGTGAAGAGGCGTCTTCTGATGTCTACAGGTGTACACTGATATCTGCTGGTGTCTGGTAGAGGTAGGACTGGAAGTTATTCATCCACATGAATGTAAATGACTTTACTCATCATGAGCCTTCACCATTTGAAAACTATTTAGTGCACATACATTTTATTATGTGCAACGGTGCATTTTAAATATCGTGTGTTCATACAACATGTCAAATTTGCCCTATTGACTGTTGCATTAAATTTTTAAAATCAAATCCTTGTGGTACAGAGGAGAAGAAGCGGCATTCAGTTCTACAGGCTGGGGGTCTTAATCTACCACTGCATACATGCAGGGATGTAACAATATTTGTAATTTCATAATATTGAAATAGAAACATTTCTTGATCATGTCGTGGGACTGTGATGGTATTTATCAAGATATTACATATGGTTTTTTGGCTCGTATAGCTGTGTTCAGGTTGTAGGATTTTAAACTGGCGTCAGGGATCCCCTATCATTGACCTTTAGAGCTGTTGTGTGGCAGCATTTCAGTTGACAATTCCAGGGCTGAACCCAAATTTAAGTTGAATTGGGTTCAGTTCAGTTTTATTTGTATAGCAACAAATCACAACAAAAATAATCTCAGGGCACTTTATGTAATGAGGTCTAGGTATTATTATTGCAATTATTATTATTATTATTAAACCCAACAAACCC